TACAACATCTAAAGGAATACCTAAACAAAAACCTAAAAAAGGGATTCATTAGACCCTCAACATCACTAGCTGGAGCAGGGATGTTCTTCGTTCGTAGCAAAGATAACAGTCAGAAACCTATAATTGATTAAAGAGGCTTATCTAAAGTTACAATCAAGAATAGGTACCCCCTGCCTATCATTCCTGAACTCCTAGAGCGGTTGCACACAGCCCGGATTTACACAAAACTCGACACTCAGGAGGGAAACGGGTTTGACGTAAATGATAAAACACATAGTTCGACACAAAATATACCTCAGTGGTTGACGGAAACCGGGATACAACAAAGACTTAATGCAAATAAAGCATTGGGACCAGATAACCTGCACCCCAAGGTACTTAAAGGAGAACTATGAGGTGAGTGCTTTTCACTCACCTCATAGTTCTAGCCGACCTGTGACAATGAGACTGTCACAGGTCGGCTCAGTAGATCGGGAGGTGAACGAACACATACCGGCGTTCGCTCACCTCTCAATCCTGTCAAAGCCCTTTGCCGTGACAGGGGAGGGGCTGGATTCCTCCCTCCCCGCTCCGATATCGCTGACTGGCGGATCGGACGGGGGAGGGGGCGGGTACAGCTGGCTCTGCCTCTAGATAGGCAGAGCCAGCTGTCACTCACGCAGCTGACTGGATCCAGACATAATTGTTGGGATCCGCTTCAGCTGCGGCGTCTCAGTATACCGCGAGCAGCAGCTTGCGGTATACTGTGGCGTCTTAGTATACCGCGAGCTGTAGCTCGTGTTATACTGAGCTTAGGGTGACGGGAGGACGCTAGTTTGTGTCCTCCCGTTACCCTAAGGAGAACTATGGGAAAAAGCCTTAACCCCATAGTTCTCCTTTAAAGAACTCAGCCAGGTTATAACGAGACCATTATTCCTCATTATTAAGGATCAGATTTAGGTGAGTTATTCCTAGGATTTACTAAGAACTACAGGCCTACAATGTAAAACAACATATTTGCTTGAAAAACAATGTACCGCTTTTGGTACCTAAAATCCTGCATAATACCGCCAGGGAGGTTAATGACTGGTAGAGTCCAAAGTGATTGGTGGAGGGCAAAGGTAGTTCCAATATTCAAAAAGGGGGCAAGATGCCAACCTGGGAACTATAGACCGGTCAGTCTAACATCAGTAGTTTGTAAACTGTTAGGAATGATTAAGGACTATTTGGTAGAATTTGTTCGGGATAATGGTATAGTTAGCGATAATCAGCATGGGTTCAGGAAAGACCGCTCCTGCCAGACTAACTTGCTAACTATTTACGAGGGGGTAAGTAGAGATCTGGATGGAGGGAGACCGGTGGATGTAGTATATCTGGATTTCTCAAAGACCACACAAACGCTTACAACACAAGCTGAGATCAATGGTCATAGATGAAATGGTGTGTACATGGATAGAGAACTGGCTACAGGAACGTGTCCAGAGAGTATCAATAAATGCCAGCTTTTCAAACTGGGCTAGTGTCATGAGTGGTGTGCCTCAAGGTTCTGTGCTGGGTCCCATGCTGTTCACACTGTTTATTAACGACATCAGGGAGGGTGTGAATAGCAATGTTTCAGTGTTTGCTGATGATACCAAAATCGGGAGGGTAATAGAAACAGACTTAGACAGTATAACATTACAGGAGGACAAGAGGACTTGGATAAAATAGGGGAGTGGGCAAATATATGGCAGATGAGGTTTAACCACTTCCCGGCCGGCCTTTGCTGGTTTACTGTGTTACCGTATGAGTTTATGTCAAATCTTCAGAAGACATATGTATATAGTTTTATTTCTTGTTCAACTGGGCAAATTCACTTCACAACTCCCCAGGATCATTGTTTCTGGTGATGGGTTCTCATTTAAATAAACACTGAGGATTACTGTCACTTTGTCAGTCTTTGGGTTTAGGATTCCATATACCTTACTTTGTTCACTATAGCCCACCAGAATATCTTCAATGGCTGTGTTTTCCAACTTGGATCGCTTCTCCTTTGGAATATAGGCATAAGCTTTACATCCAAACACTCTGATGTGCCCTAGGCTAGGCTTCAATCCATGTCACATTTCAAATAGGGCACTTTTTAAGGTAGTCTGTCCTGTCATGACTGCTTCTCCCTGGTACTTCTTAGGTAGGTTGGTGTCTGACAGCATGCATCTGGCCATTTCTATGAGAGTGTGATTTTTCCGTTCCTCTACACCATTTTGTTCAGGAGTGTTTGGTGTGGTTGTCTGGTGTACCATACCTTGTTTTTTTTAGATATGATTCCACTTCCTTACTGATGTATTTCCCTGGGTGGTCTTTCTTTGAGCTGCCTGTGGAATTGGGGTATGTGTGGCCTTTGTTTACATACAGCATTTGCATGTCATGAACATTCGGCAGGGCAGTACGGTTATATCTTCTGATAAGCCTCTTTTTATAATGTCTTTTATGGCTTCTGGGTTTTGGTGCTCTAGTTGCCTGTGCCATAGATGGATACATTTGTTGTGTGGATTATGAGTGGCTTTCTTGACTTGTTTGTTTGCAGTGATGAGTCTGTACAGGTGTTCATCCAATTTTCCTTTTGCAAGGATTTGCTCATTGTTTCGGATTGTACATTCCTCACCTCTGAGGCCGTTATTAGTAAGGGTTTTCACTGATAGAAGGCTTCCTTTTAGGTCTGGGAAATACAGTACATTTTTCCCGAGGATACTCTGCTTGTCCCCTGACAGTGTGATGCAGTTCAAGAATCCTTGGCTGTTACCTTTTGCAGTAATACTTTTCCCGTTTTCTAGGAAAACTTTCTGTAAAGACGGTCTCATCACTAGTCATGTGACTCGTTGCACCCGAGTCAATACACAATCTGCGTAGTATACTGTTCTGACTCACTTTAAAGGTAGTGCTCCATGATGTGCCTGCAGTTGCCGTTGTAGCTGCCTTAGCTCTTTCTCTTGTAGGTGCCGCTCGCTTTTGCTTCTCAGCTTTCCAGGTTGAACAGTCGTTTTACAGTGAAAACATGCTCTGCTTTCTTTGTTTTGCTTTGCGCTTTCATGCTTTCGAAAGGTTTTTCTTAATTGTGAATATTTTCTTTCCTTTTGTCATATTCATGGATTCATTTTGCTTTGGTGTATTCTAGTGTTAGTTCCTGCTCAGGTCTGGTTTCTAGAGCATTAATAACAGCACTGAATGAGTCTGGAAGGCTGCATAACAGTAATGTCTCCACATGCTTATCTTTAATTTCTTCTCCAATTTCACGTAGTTGTTCTACAATTTCCAGCATGGCATTCACATGTTCACACATTTCCTGGCCTTTTTCTAGCCTCATCTTATATAGCTCGCATAGCGGTTATAGTTTACTGTTTAGGTTCGAACGCTCATGCAGTTTCTGTAATGCATTCCACATACCTTTAGTTGTATTTTCTTTTCTTATGTGGATGAGCTGGTCATCTTCCACTAGCAGACTTATAATTGCTTTTGATTGCTTGTTCTTCTTGTCCTATACCTCCACGGGTCCATTACTGGGCCTGTCTGTACTCAGTACTTGCTGCAAGTCTTTGCTTAGCAGCATTTCAAGCTTGAACTTCCATAGCTGGTAATTGTTATAGTTCAGCTTTGCAATTGCAAACGTCATATCTAAACTACTTGCCATTTGTCAGTAGCTTGGATGCAGCACTTGTTAACTTGCAGTATTCTGTTCAGTGCCTGGGCCCATAACCTTTTGGTTATGTGTTTAGATGGAGCACTGAGATCTTGAAGAATGCTTAATTAAGTTTTACCTACTTAGAAGAACGTTACATCTGTGTATAGGAAGACAGCATCAAACAAGAGAAACATATCAATCATATAGAAGAAAACATATATACATATATAACTTCCTCTGTATCACAGACAAGTACGCACATAGACAAATAGCATACAGACTAGCTTTGCACCACAGCACCATCTAGTGCTCAAAAGACAATATTACATCAGCAACACAATCAATATACAGTATATCAGCGTAGGCTGTTGTATATCCAACAAATATAACCTATGCTGAAGCAGTGTTCTAAGTCTTTACTCGCTGGTACAGTAAACTCCAAGTTATTTGGAACCCATGGGGATGGTTATGTGCCAGAAAACTAGAAAAAGGTTTCGTAAACGAGTCCTGAGTGATTGGCCACACCGCTGGTAAGTCAATAATGTACAAAATTGTGTATGTGGGGTTTTTTCAGGTGCCAGGTGACAGATCCAAGAGATTACAACATTAGTTTCAAAAATCTTTATTGTATAAAAAGGTTAAAAACTATAAAGAGACATTAATGAAACATGCGGCTGCAATGCAGCCTCGTAGACATCGACGGCCTGGGATTGACTACATGTTTTTGCTAATCCAGCGTCACAGCTTGATGTTAAGTGTTGCTGGACCCAGGGAGAATTTTTTCACAAAAGGACTTGAGTATGGCTATCACTCCTATTCTTATTACCCTGGTGGTTCTGGTCCGGTCCTCTGCTGATACTCTCTGGAGTCTGGAGTCGATTTCCTCCAATAATCAGAATTCCTGAGGAAGCACTTGGAGCGCAAAATGCGTTGAATACTCCTCCTTTATATCGCTAAGAAGAGGCTGCTCTATGCCAAATGATTTAAAGTCCACCTTATACGGTTTATTTATTTATCATGTTTAATTAATGTCTCTTTGGAGTAGCTTTTTGGAGGTATCAACCTAATTATTTATTATGACGAAGAAAGCATGGATGTACTAATCTTGTTTTATGGTTTTTAACCTTTTTTATACAATAAAGATTTTTTTACACTAATTATGTTGTAATCTCTTGAATCTGTCACCTTTGCACTCGAAAAAACCCCACATACACATTTTTTTTTATGTGCCAGAAAACTGTTCTTTCTGGTTGCTTTAGAGTTAATAGTAACTCTCAAGAAACAGCCCCCCCGCCAACCCAAAGCGGTGAGAGAAAGTTCTCTCTCAGGCCCACTCCTCTGCTCAGTGGGCCGCTGCAATAGCCAGCCTGCTATTGGCTATTGCAATTTGAAATAAATAGCAGGCTGACTATTTTAACCCCGCCCACAAAGCAGAGGAGTGGATCGGAGTTTTTATTATGGGCCACGCCTCCTCCCCTCCTTCTTTTCACACATTTTCATTCACATTTGATTTATAGACTAGTCTCTTTTAAGCTGGTCATACACTGCTCTGTTTTTTTCATTCAACCCATGGGCTGAATGAAAAAATAGAGCAAAGTCCTCCAACAACACTACAAGCACGTTGATCAAGCCACCCCCGCTGTTTGTTTCATATTCTGACAGCGGCTGCCATTTGTACCAAGATTTCCCGGCCGGCTCCTTTGATCAGCTGATCGAGGGATGCAGGCTGAAAGGGTGCAGACAGCGTCACCCACTGTGCATATTTTGGGCGGTTCCTCAACCACCTTCCGAAATTTGCACAGTGTATGGCCACCTTTAGACACTTCAGAAAACGGAGCCCCAATATGCTGGATCGGAGAGGTTCTCTCCTTCATATCACTTCCCTACAACCTCTGCCCCTGTTTATGGCTCAGCCCTTTGCAAGCCAAGCAATTGTCCCAAAGGTTTGTGGTGCCTCCACGCCTGATAAAAATGGAGACAAACATTTTGTCTTAAATTAAATATTTTTATTGTATGACAGTTGAATGTCGATTGTTTGAATATATGAATATTGTTTAAATAATCTCTGCAACATTATTGAAGCTTATTTAGAAAAGTTTAATAAAAGTGAAATAGTACAGGCTTTAACATGTCTGCATGCTATGTGACAACTACTGTATGCTTTACTGGATTTTACATGTAAAAGAAAAAATGAAACATTTGTGGTAAGTAGAATTGGGTTGACAAGCTATCACAATGATGTATGGTGATGCATGCAATCAGCAGCAATATGCTGACCCTAAATGGTAACGGCATTGTTCCATTGTTCTTCCTTTAACAGGCAGGAATTATAGACTTACTTACCGACCAATGTGAAGAAGGAAACATATGCATTTTGGGAGTCAGACTCAATTTTTCAGACTGAGGAAGGGAATCTACTACCATCCTAAGCATATGTCTAGAGGAAAGCGCCCAAATTCCCTCTAAGGCAGCATCTCTGTTAGGACTGGACTTGCTTCTTACAAGCAGGGAGCTGAAACAACTCCCTGCTTGATGTGTTAAGAATTCCGAATCTAAAACTTTCTATGATTATCTTCAGCCAGCCCTGATAATTTGCATATGACTTCCATTGGTTTTTTTTAGTGTGCATGACCTCCCATCTTTGTTGCATTCCCACTTCTGATTTTGCAGGTCTTTCATAATCATCCTAGAGCTGATAATGAGTGCTTCAAATGGCAGACGTGCTAATCAAACAGAGAAATTTTGAAAATTAAGGACTGTACCACTGGGACCATAAAATGGAGGACAATTGACAACAGTACAGGCAGATGTTCCTGTATTAAATCATTGTTGAGGAGACACCTGACAATCTCATTGCTTGTTATTTAAAGCAAAACTCTATCTTATTAAGGAAAAAAAAGTTGTCTCCATGCCAGTTATATACATGCATCAATTTTCGCCAAATTAGTTGTCAGACGTACTGTATACCTTTTGCTGTAGGTTGATCTGCATACCTATTAAATTATTGTGAAGGAAACTCACACTTGCATCCTATTTACTCCCTCCTTTATGTGTGCTAAGTGGCAGGGGCTGCCTGCTACAGTCGCATTATCAGTCCCAGTGTTGTATTTAGAAAAACTGCTGGGAAAAGCAGGTAGCCAATCAGATATGCAGTAAATTACATTTCTAAGAGCTTTCTGCAGGGGCAGAAAGTTCCATGGTTGTCATGGTACAAGAATGCCTTAGGAACCATAACTGTCTGCAATGTATCATAGAAAGGTCATTTGTAATAGCGTTGGGCCAAATAGCACTTCAGGCACTTTTGAAGTCCCATTTCCTTTTTTTGGGGTGCATGCATATGTTTTATATAGGGATGCAGGTGTCATATGTATAATCCGTTCATAAAGGGAGAAACTCTTTTTCCTCTTTTAAAAAAAAAATTTTTTAAAGCATCTCAGAATGCATTGTTTACCAATTATACAGTATACTGTACATTGCTTCAATTTTCTAACAAAAGTAGAGTTGCTCGTAGTTTATATCTGTCCTTGTTAACCAGCTAAAGTATGAGCCTCTTCTCTAAGAAAAAGTTGGTTGTCTACTGCTATCAATAGTGTCCCTTTCTCACTTGCTATACGTGTACGCTGTGCGTTATTGGGATCCGGTTGTTTTGCTGTTAATTATCTCACTTTTACATGCTATAAAGCGAAGGATAATGGCATTGCCAGTCCTGTTCTGATGTTAAAATGATCTAGCGGCTAGCTTGTTACGTTTAATAACTATTTTTGGCAGTCTAGTGAAGAGGTGAAAGGGATACCAATAAATCTTCAACATTATTGCGTTAAATATAATGCTATGAAAACCTTTGCTTGTTTCTCCTTGAAGGCATCTCCACTTTTAATCACTGCGTAGTAAATCAAAGTTGAAGTAAAGCAAGATTAAACAGCCTCTTTAAAACAGAAAGAGGAGAAAGTTCACTTATTGACTGAAATGAAGAAGATGATATAGCAAAAAATATTTAAAGAGACAGTCTTAGCTGTTACAGAGAGAAAACAGTTATGGAACTCAGTAAAATCAGTTACCTGTAAACACTCCCCTTTGTTTTTGTTTTTTACATGTACCATGTACCATAAGCATGAAACCCTCATTCACATTGAGCGTTTTGTAGCGCTCTTTCTGCTCCAAAAAACGCCCCAAAAAACGCCCCCATTTATTTCAATGGTCATGTATACATCTGAGCGTCATGTCGCCTGTAGCAAAACACCCGTCGCTTGTAGCAAGTACATGGGCTGCTTTTTGGCAGATTCTGCGCTTTTTTGCCCCATAGGCTTCAATGGAAACACTCAAAAACCTGTGTTTTTCAAATTTGTCCATTGACATCAATGTGGTGCAATCTGCTCATTAAAACGCACAACTTTTTTGTCGCTGTGAATGCAGGCAAAGACTCTGAAATTTCTAGATAATACTGTACATACCCAGCTTATTCTGACATGATATATAATTTTATTCTTCAAGAATTTTTGCTCTGGAAAGTTTATAAATGGCTTCTGATTTCTATCACTTATTTTTGGACTGTGAGTATTGGAGCTTGCCTAAAGTGTATGTATACCCAAAACTTTTTGTTCACTTTTGGTAGCGTAGAAAAGTCGAACCGAAGGTATAGTGAATAGTCTGTACAGCAGCCAAGCGGCTCAGCCGAGCCGAACCTATATGCTTCTACTCAGCTGAGCCGTATTCACAGCCGAAGCGGCCAAAGACGACCGATCTCCAGCCAAATGACAGCTGGGGGAAACCAGCCATGTACTCATGGCTGGCTCTGCCCAGTTGTAATGTCAGATAACCGTCCCCAAATGACCTGGGGATGCTAATCTGTCATTAAACAATAACAACGGGTGGAGCCGGCTATTACATCACAGCCGGCTCCGCCCAGTTGTTATTTATTGGCCGGGACCTGCTAGACCTGCTAGACCTGCTCTGGCAGGTGCCGGCCAATAGGAAACAGTTGGCCCAATTGTTTTTATTTTGCCGACATCTGACAGATGCTTCATTATGCGGCTGGAGTCCGGCACTTGCAGTCTGGTTGTGGTTTTTTTTATTATTTTTTCTTCTTTTTTTTTATTTTCTTTAAAATATATATTTTTTAATTTTCCTATTTTTTTAAATTTTTATAAATAATTTTTCAACCTTTTTTTTAATTTAACTTTTTTTTCTATTCTGTTTGCTACCTTGGAGGTACCGAGCAGAATGCTGCTCACAAACTACTCGCAAACTACTCGCTATTTCTGTACACTCTATACAGATAAGTAAAAGCTACTGCAGGGGTGCATATACTTAAAATCTAGAATTCAGTGCACATGTTCATTTTAAATCCTAAATCTCTTTTTAAAATTGAAAGTACCCAATGGAGCTGACTAGGCTGTTCTAAATAGACATGTAAGCTGCTGAAAAATTGTGTTCAGTTCAAATATTTTGTTATTTCGGAATGCAGGATTCGGATCCTAAATTCAATTTGGTTCGGGTTTCGAATTCGGATGAAATCCGAATTTCATTAGTTTCGGATGAGTTTACGAATATTCATTGTGAGTAAAACAGAAAGCCATATACAGATATTAATACTAAAGCTGAATCTCCTAGACCCGAATGGCATTCGGGTGTGGGAACCTCAGCTTTAGTAATATATGTATATGGCTCCCAGAGCCGAACGGCATTCGGGTTCCGAATTTCAGAATTGCATTCAGGAGCTCCCGAATGCCAATCGGGTCTGGGAGCCGTATACATATATTACTAAAGCTGAGGCTCCCAGACCCTAATTGCATTCGGAAATTCGGATCGCAAATGCTATTCGGGTCTAGGAGCCTCAGCTTTAGTATTATATGTATATATTGAACACGAATTACGGCATGTGAATTTTCTGGCCAATCAGACGGCTCCCATGTTGCCGTAATGAAAATTTGTGTTCAGACCCCTTCGGATGCATTAACCTTCCTGGTGGTAATCCCGAGTGTGACTCGGGGTTAATTTTCAGTACCAAAAGCGGTAACCCCGAGCCACACTCGGGATTACACTGTGCGTTGCTTACCTTGTCCACGAGCCCCGTTGTGTCCTCCGGCCAATGCCGGCATCCGTCTTCCGTCCCTTGCGAGCACCCGCGTAGCAGGGGGGCAGAACCGGCGGGACATTTAAAAGTAAAAAATAGAAAAGAAAAAAAGGAAATCAAAATAGAAAAAAAAAACTGAGACCGCCAGGGAGGTTAAACCGAAAAAGACATCTAATTGGCCAGAAAAGTCACATGTCCAATTCAGTTTTGCTTTTGAACAAAATTCGGACGGGAAACAAATCGCACATGTCTAGATCTAGATTTATCTACAGATCTCCCTCGGTGTGGAGCAGTAATGTGATATACCGATATACTGTATATCGCCAACAAAGTTGGCGCTAAAGGCATACACGATCATTTACTGCTCTTCTCACTGCGTAATGAATACACAAGCTGCTGAATGATCCCTATTTAGTTTGGTCACATTTCAGTGTAGTAGTTTTATCAATTAATTTCTGATTTCATAAAATTTTGAACAGCCAGCATGATTGGCTAGGATTTTCAGCCGATTGCCATGATCCATGGCAAAATATGCTTATTGTTATCTTACTGAAATGTGTCATAGGTCATCCTCCAGTGCATTTGAACCTACAGGTATAGAATGTCTTTGAGAATAAGTTCATAACATATTGGTCTTTTGTTGGCAGGGCATAACATTAAATTACCTGGTGTCCTTTGTTGTTCATTAAAACAAATACATAAGAATATAGCGACAAGCTGCACGAGTTAATGGATATCCCAAGTGAGGAGAGATAACGTGTGATTGTATCACTCACCTTCTTGTGACAAAGGTGCCATCTCCTGTCACTACAGTAACTGACAGACACACTGGCGCCCAGTCATCTACACTTGATTTTTCTATGGAAACTGCAACAACCTGGTAGAAGCCTATCTTCTATCCACACTGCTGTGAATTACTCGCTTGATAAGGGAAATATGGGAGGGGGATTCCTTTATGACTTTGGCTGCAAGCAGGGTTGAGAGCAATAGATAAGTTAGCTGTAAAATGGGGGGTCATATCCTCTTATCTGCTCTCTCTTCCCTGTTTCATTCCACCTACATCCCATAACCCCAGCCTACATAAACACATAAAAGTAAGAGTTTACTCAGAGTTTTATGGCATTAAACAGACAATTACTTTGGTGCCGGGACGGATAGGTGCGAAGGGACACAGGTCAGGGAGGGAAGGTGTGTGTTTAGTGTTTTATTGTCCTGTTTTTGTAACACCTGGGGAGCGGGTGTGGGTGAGTCCCTGAGGATAAAGGGCCTTTCCACCATGCAGTCCTGATAGTGTACTAGGAAAACTAGGTTTACTTAACCATTATTTCATTATTGCATGTTCTGTTTGTCATTTACAGTGTTAATATTAGAAATATTAAATCCTAATTTCCCTGAGAAATATGTTGAAGATGCTGTGCATTGTTATAAAATCAAACAGCAATATTTGATGTGTAGTACATTCTACCACTAGAAGCAATATAAATTTCAGGAAATGATCAGATCTCAATGTGTTTCATATTATTGTACTCAGAGGGAACATACAGTATACACCAAACTTCCTGTCTTATCAAGGCTGGACAACTCCAGTAAAGAGCTACCTGGGTATTGTCTGAGACCAACTCAGGTAACCAATACAAATCATCAGGTTTTTTTTTTAAACTCATTTAAATTTAAGGGATTCTTGCAGATGCCATTCGCACGGCACTAATGCCCCTAGGTGGCGCTGAAGAGTATATTTCCTATACTCATCAGCTCCATCTAGGGGTGCAGAACTATTTACATGAATCCCTCTGTGTATGACTCCCCAGACATAAGGACCCTTGGAGTGGGTGGTGGTCAAAATACAATCTAATACCCCAATGATATTGTCTGTTTTGGCCTTTTTAGTAAGCAAGTGCAAATATACATTTAACCACTTGCTGCCCTGAGGAATTTCTTACATTTGCACACACATGATCAAATCTGAATTTCTGGCTAGAAAACAGCTTCAGACCCCCAAACAATGATATATTTTCTGAAAGCAGAGACCCTGTAGAATAAAAAGATTCTAGGTGCAATCTTGTATGTTGCACAGTATTTGCGCATATGTTTATCAAACAAGTATTTTTAGAATAAAATACAATAAAATTACATTTAGTCCACAAAAACAGAATATAATGCCCAATTTTTTGGTAAAACATAAAAGTTGGGTCATGCCAGATAAATAGATATGAAACATGTCAAGCCTTAAAATTGCGTGCGTCCATGAAACCGCAAAAAAACTACAATAACCAAAATTTCCCATAGGCGACGATTTAAACGCTTTTACGACTCGTCATGTTAATGCTAACAGTGATTGATTGGCCTAGAGTCATTGCTCTCACTCCAATGCGCAAGACTACCAAGAACACGGCTGCAGCAGCAACTGTGTTCTTGGTATAACCACTTCCAGCGGAGGACGTACATTTACCTGAACATGCTGGAAGTGGTTAAAATGCTTACCACCTTGCCTACTTAATAACAGGTGGTTTACAAGCATTGTGCACCCACATTTGATTACGGTTTCTGTATTTCAGTATGTTGCTGTTAGCATTAACGAGGTTATCTTGGTGTGGTCTGGGACCAAGCTTAGATAACCCAATAAAAATAGGATTTTTTTGTACTCACCATAAAATCCTTTTCTCTGCATTAATTGAAGAACACAATCTCTGTAAATCTCTAACCAATGGGTTATGGCACCACCTTCAGCAGAAGGACAGTAGGCAAAAAACAGCCTAGGGATGGGACCTGGCTTTGGCCAAACCCCCCATCTGCTAGATGCAGCTCAGTTAGTCACAAAGCAGTACATAGAGACACAACTGGTCACAGACACAACAATCAGAGGAGTAGGTGCTGTGCCCTTCAATGAATGCAGAGAAAAGGATTTTACAGTGAGTACAAAAAAAATCCTATTTTCTCTTCTCCGTTCATTGAAGGACACAGCGGAGATCTTGATCTCTGACCAATGGGACGTATTAAAGCAGTAACAATTGAGGGGTGGGAAAAAACTAAACAACTTCCCAGGATAGGAACAATTAACCACCACTGGTAGGAAATGCGAGCTATATATGGAAACATAACCCCTCCCAAAAGATTGGTCCACGGATGCAGAAGTATGCAAAAGCTGGGGCAAACAGGATTAAGGCCCTATGATACAAGGATCTGGCAGAAATAAGTGTACAGCGATCATGGCGGTGAATCTGCTGTGCATCTACTGCAGAAAACACCCACCAAGCAATCAAGTGTACTGCACCTGCACCACTGGGCACACAGCACAGATGGACAAGTGGTAACTACAGGCCACCAAGGAGGAGAAGGGGAAGGAGAGGTATCTAAATATTCACCATATCAGATGACAGAGCGGGTACCTTCCCCATGACAGTTTACTTCTCCACCGCAGCAGGGGTGCTGTCTGCCTGGGGGGACACTGTGATAGAGCAACAAGTCACTCAGTCATATATGCCCCCCCCCGTGTAGAATACTCACAGACGGCCCTTACATCCAGGTCTGTGAGTATTCCACCCAGGGCTGTTGCAGCTGGACCCACATGTAGCTAAGGATCTGCATGCATGCATACAATATCTGAGCTGGAGGGACTACAAGGATCTATACTATATTATCCAGCCTGTCACCCTGCTAAGCTTTTGATTGAAGGTCTTGAAGACAGAAGAAAAAAGAATTCCCAGCAGGGAGCTTAGGTCCTTACTTCTCTACACTAGGCGAAAAACTGAGCTGCCTCTAGCAGATGGGGGGTTTGGCTCCCCGATGCTGGCGACGTACACTGTACGTCGTCAGTCACGAAGGGGTTAAGGACGCCTCCACTCACTGACTGCTTTGTACATATAAATATGTATATATACATATACATTATTTGTTCAGCCAGCAGGTTGCACAAAGAAAATAGAACCGTGTATACCCAGCTTAACTTTGAGCTGGGTATGCAACTCCACAGATCCTGCCACTACAAGCTGCCTGCATAAAACTACAGGAGGGGGCGGATACAAGACCAGTCACCCTGCACAAGTAGAGAGAGCAGCAGTGACTGGTCTTTATTACAGAAAACTCCTGCACAGAGGCAATGCTTCACTCTGGATTACAGCACAGATCTGGAAGAAATATACAAAGGACAACAAGATTCAAGTGAGAATACAGATGGCTCTTTAGACAACATTTATTTTGCCTGGAATTCATCTTTAACATTACTATAATAGCTACAACTTACAATATTGTATCCCATAGAATGGGTCCATAACAAATTGTATGAGGTATTCAGGTGCAAAATTAAGTAAGTAAATTACAAAAGTGAATTACAAAAGTATAGTCTATCAACTGATAGTTTTTTTTGGGGGGGGGGGCTCATTCAGATTGGACTCTTAAACAGAATAAGGACCACAAAAATATGAGTCAGAGGGTCACGTGCAGCCCATAAAACGCCATTTTGACATGTCTGCTCTATCAGGTAATTTCATCAGCAAGACATTACTTCAAAAATGCTATATCTACGTTCAAGTGCAACAGTTGTAGACTGTTTTTTTCAGGCACAGTTTTATCACCCCCCTTAATGTGCTTGTCAGGTTTGGTGAAAATTATTTTACTTGATAAAAAATTCCCTGCACATCTAAATGACTGAAATAACAGTCATATAAAATATAGCATATTTTCAAGCAGATGGACAAAAAGTGCCTGAAGGTGCTTGCACAGTCTAGTAATATAAAATAAAGTGGAGGCTCTTCATGCTTGGTTTATGTTTTTAGTCTTCCGAGGGAATTTCCCTACCTCGAAGACAGCTGTTGTTCCTTGTTATAATGTACTGATGTCTTTCTAGGTTTGAGAAAACATTGTAATGGCCTTTGTTTTCTTCACATCACTTTTGCAGTTGACTTTCAGTGTTAAGCACAATATAATGAAACAATTCAGATATTTATCAGACAGCTGCTGTCTTAATCAGAATAGACAAATATCCCTGAATATGGGCAATGCAGCGTGGATTGATATGTGTGATTTACATACACACATGTTCATTAGAGCATGTTTATTGTTCCGGCTTAGAATAAGGGAATAAGCACCTGTTGTGATTACAAGTAGACGGAGTCAACATTTTGTACCATTTAGACAGAAACAAAAGGGCCAACAGATATCTGCCTGTGATTTGATAGCAATGCACTTTAATAAATATGCTCAGTCCAATCCTAACTTATTTTTTTCTAATTGTATTTTTCTCCAATGCAGTGATGATTCTTCTTCAATGATTTGTAGCTAAGCCCATAGAGGTGAATGAAGAGTGTTTTGTTGCTGGCGATCTTGTGAAACGCTGCTAAAATTCAATAGCTGAGCGACTTAGCCACAAGTCACTGAAAAATTAGCCAGTTAGTAGTTCCAATTTAGGGAAGCCTATCCCACCTCAATCTAACCGCTCAACCATCACGTTCGCAAACAATTCATCCCCACACAGCTACCTCCTCATGTATCACTTCCCCCTCCCTTTTAGAATGTAAGCCCTCAGGGGTATGTAAGCCCTTACCATCTTGTCTTGAATTGTATTGTGATTGTAATGTCTTCCTTATATTGTAAAGCGCTGCACAAACTGTTGGCGCTATATAAATCCTGTAAATATATATATATATATATTTATATAATAATAACTTTGAACTTCTCAGCAAGAAATTGCTGGGAAATTTCAAACAGTCATGTTGTTGTTTTTTTCCATGTTCTGTATAAATGAAGGTATGTCATTGCCTGATTAAGTGTTGTCACTGCCTCTTAGTGTCCAGCCCAGTCTTATGTGTCTTTCATATAGACAGATGCTAAAGCACACTTGCGTGTAAAGAAACAATATTCTGGCATTGTAACCAAGGACTTCATGCTGTCCTCTTTTATCTTTATGAGCTGTGAATTTATCTTCCTTCTCTTCTTTATGGTGTGTGGGGGGAGGGATATCAGGGAAGAGTGATAAAGGCAAAAGTCAAGATATCAATGAAATAACGAACTTGCATACCTTATACATTGTTGAGTATACTCTCCCCCCAAGAGCTGGTGCCCTCACATATAAAACACAACACAAATTTCCCCTGTAACCTCATGGATGAGCCCAAGCGGGTTACACAGTGGATTTTGCCAAAACCATAAATTAATTCCCTGACCTAAAATTTGCCTGCCAGGGAAGGGAGCTAATAAATCTTTAACAGCAGAGGTGTTGTGAAAACTGGTGCTACAAGTAGCTGACATTAGAGGGAGGGATTGGTGGAATCTTGATTTAATTCATGGACAAAAGAGACAAGAGAATGCTATTTACTTTATCTGCACTCATAAAGAGTTAAGAGTGAAAATCAATTGAATTAATTCATATAAATTATTTATCATTCATAAAAATTATTGTCTATGCATTGTTCTCTAATCTGAAACATTTTGTTTGACTATATATAAGTTTTGTGGCCTTCAACACTTATGTTTTTAGAGCAAGTTCCTAAGTGAGTAGAGCCTATAATAAAGCAATCCAGATGCTCCAAGTGGAAATATACAGTTTGAATCTGTCATGTACTAGGGCTGTTAGTTCTACAATGTGCTGAAGGTGGGTAATTTCAGAAACTCATTCCTGGATGGAGGAGAGAGGAAGATCTCCTATGCCTCAAAATCACAGCTTTAACAGCTGAGAGGAGGAAGTGGAACAATGAGAGAAGCACAGTTTCTGGATTCATCAGGACTTCAAGGCCTATCAACTGTTCATAGATAGTAAATACTTGTAACTAGTAGGCCAAGACTGGATGGCATGACACCAAATGTATAATATAGTCCCTCTTGCTGTGTCGCAGCATCAGCATCGGTCAGAGGCAGAGGGTAATATTTTCCTTATGGTGGAGGGGCATCTAAACTATTGTGTTAAGTAGGGATGCACAGATACTTTTCGAGTACCAGTGCAGATACCTGGCATTTTCGTGAGAACTACCAGGGTTGCAGAGGTTGCAGCTGGGACCGGGCTCTGGTGCTCCACCACTGTCCTGAAATCATTAGTCTGTATTGTTTTAGAAAAACTGTCACATGACAGTAAACAAAAATGTATCAGTACTCGTACTTGTAAGTACTAGGTCAAGTACCAGTACTCGTACTAGCAAAACTGGTATCTGTGCATCCCTTTATTTATATTTATAAAAACAAAATCGTACATTAAAACAGAGATTTACAAATCCCGGGAGCTCCGTGTGCTCCTTACAAATGACAGCTGCCTCCTAATTTTTTAATTTTTCTCTAGTGTAGTGAGCTCAAAAGTATCGGTACATGTACTCGTACTTGTACCGAGTACTGTACTTGGTATCTGTGCAACCCTAGTGTTAAGATTTTAAAATTCCTCTCTTGGATTGACCTTTCTATGCTGAGCTTGTCTGCGAGAGCAAATATTTTTTATGGAGGTCATATTCAGAATATTGGGGGTTCCGGTTCTTTTCTCAGGCAGAGCAGCATAGAGTTGGGAGCTAAGGTGATTTGAGGTTTCAGATTGTAGGCATAAAGTCTCAAAGGGTGAGAGGTCTCTGGAAAGAGGCCCCTGTCCACAGAGTTGATTAGAAAAATCCTACAATTGAAAGTAGTGAGCCGGTGTCCTGCATTGCCATTTTGAGGGGGCCCTATTTAACCAAGAAATGAAGGGGAAACATGCAGGCCTGGGGGAGATCGCAGAGTTTCCCAGAATTGGGGTCATGGGGCCCACATAAAAAGAGTCTGATCCTTTTAAATTACCCATTTTCAAAGAAGAGGGGGATACAGATATGAAGGATAGAGGGAAGAAGGCGATCCTGGAGTTTAATCCATGGTAAACCCTCACAAGCAGGGCCCTTCTAATCCTCTTGGATGGAATTGTATTGTAACTGGATTGTCTCCCCATATTTTGTAATATGTGCAAACTGTTGGTGCTATATAACTCTTGTATAATAATAATAATAATAATAATAATGGTATGAAGGGAACGGGAAGAGGATTTAGAGAGTCTTCAAGTCTGACACACAATTTGTCTGTGCTGTGAAATATCCAGTTGATGATATGAGTCAACAGTGCAGATTTTAATATAGTTCTAAGTAGGGATGCACCCAGGCTCGGATTTCGCAAAAGGCCACCGAGTTTGAATACAAAATTTAATAAATAAAAATAAAAAAAATGGAGAAATAATTGAATAAAAAATAAACAGTGATAAAAATAAATAAACAGTGGGGCGTATTGTGGAACCTGGCCTTGGGGTGGCAGGGGGAGTAAATCCGGCCCTGGATGCACTGATACCGATACTAGTATCGATATCGGTGCCGATACCGAGTATTTGGGCGAGTACTCGCCCAAATATTCCAATGCTTAGCCCGATACTTCCTGTATCTGGAAGCCGTGCAGCGCGTCATTACACGCTGCCCGGTTTCTGATTGGCCGGGAAGCGGCTCAATGCTCTCTCGTTCTTCCTGATTGGTTGAAAAGCTGGCCAATCGGGAAGCCGGGCGCCGTGTAATGACGCAGCGCCTGGCATTCTGATTGGCCGGGAAGCTGGCTTCATGCTCCCTCATCATCTCATGATGAGGGAGCATGGAGCCGGCCTCCCGGCCAATTAGAAAGCAGGGCGTTGCGTCATTACATGGCGCCCGGCTTCCTGATTGGCCAGCCAGACGGCTCCGGGAGGCCGCGTTTTGGCTGGAGAGATCCCGGGGCTGACAGGCTGGACATACCAAGGTAAGAGGGGACAGACTTCCTTGTTAATCGGGAAACCGGGTAGCGAGACTTTACACGCTGCCCGGCTAATCAGGAAGCCAGGTGGCGAGTCATTACACGCCACCTGGCTTCCTGAATGGGACTTCCGTTACTCGGTAATTGGTATCGGCGAGTACCGAAAAAAATTATCGGTACTCGGTACCAAAATACCGGTATCGGTGCATCCTTAGTTCTGAGTGAGGTAGACCCAAGCCTCCTGATTATTTTCAGCAGACTAATGTCGCACCACAGACAAGTGAATGGACCCAAATGAATGAATTAATTATTCCGCCACCAGGGGACCCTGCATAATAGGGTTCATTTGGATCACATTGGTAAAGTGCTTCATAGCTAAAATGCTATTGACATGAATTCGACCAAAGGACTATGATACAGTGCCATGATCTTCTCTTAAACGGGGACGATGCTGATCTGTTGAAGGGTGGCATATAGAATCCACAGTAGGCAATCAAATACCTTCTCAGCATCGGCAGATAAAAGGCATAACTGATTATAATGTTTTATGGCATAAGCCATAAGGGAAATCACTGTGTGCTTTGCGAAAGAGGGCAAA